CTCACGAACCCGTGTTGGCTGTGACCAATGAATGTGTTGTCCTTCAGGTGTTTTTCAATAAATCCCAGCATGATTTTCTCCATAATTTTACCAGGCACTGAAGTGAGACTGACAGGCCTGTAATTACCAGGGTTGTCTTTCTTGCCCTTCTTGAAGATTGGAACAACGGTTGCCAGCTTCCAGTCAAATGGGACCTCTCCAGATTCCCAAGACCATTGAAAAATAATTGGGAGAGGTCTCGCAATGACATCAGCCAGCTCTCTGAGCGCCCTGGGATTACCTTAGGGGTTAAAAACTAGAAACTTTCTGCTGACATTTGACTGCATCAGATGATTGCAAGAGCATGTATTTCTTATGACTCTGTTTTGTTACTTTGTTTTTTCTTTAAGATAAATAGTATTGACTCTAAAGTAATCCTGTTGCTAACTCTGTTTTACTTTTCAGCTTCTAATGACTTACCCTCTGCTGACCCCACATATCTCCTTTCTGATACAGTTTTAAAGGAAAGTCTTCACTCTTCCATTGGATGCAGTAGTTGGCCAATAAACAGGCAATGCCTTAGGCGAGGGTCTGCCAAAACCCCTGTGCAGTATCATACGTAAAACATTTGGAGATATCTTTCTCTGTATACAAACTTTCTAAAGAAATGTGGGCTATGAGAAAGAAGGATAAGGAAGGTTTTGTAACTATCACACTTGGTATAAAGCAATTCCTTGCACGTCTGAAATTCCAACTAGTACTTCAGTGTATCGTTTATTCAGATCTGTATATCTCTTAGTCCTTTAAATGTCACTTTTATATAAGACTTTGTGGTTTCTACTAAAATACTGCCCTCAGTAGATTTCAAATCACCACAATTGATTAGTATCGTTTTAGATCTCTATATTTCTTAGTCCTTTAAATGTCACTTTATATAAGACTTTGTGGTTTCTACTAAAATACTGCCCTCAGTAGATTTCAAATCACCACAATTGATTACTGTTCCATCTAAATACTATGTAGAGGCAGATCCCACATTATATATGTGAAACACAAAGTCAACAAAGATTTTAACTTTGCATCTTAGATCCATCTCCTGTTTTAAATGGCAAAATGTTTGGCTTTCCATATAAACTTAATTTGTACAGTATAAATTTAAATGTTTGCTTTATGTTGGCTTTGTCATCTAATTTGTTGCCTTAGCATAAGAAATCATACTTTTGATAAAAGAATGATTTTTTTTTTTTTTTTGTTTAGTTGCTGTGACTTCTCCATTTGTTTGGCAATTGGAAATTAGGGCAACCATATGTGTATAAAAGAGGAAGATGCTTAACAACTAGTATTGATTGAAATGTAACAAGCACTATTTCTACTACAGTTAAAAAGACAGAGAAGCTTACTTTGCCCTATGGACGGCCCAGGGTTCTGCAGAAGAGACATAATTACTGCCTCCTTTACCATTACCGCTATGTGAGTGGATACAGCAAGGACTACAGGATGTCTCTGTGGAGTTCATACACTGTTAACAAAGATGTAAGTATCTGAAGAACGGTTAGAAGCAACCTTGAAAGGTAAAAAGCTTGAAAGTCAGTCATTCCAGAATGTTGCTTAAATCTGATATTTGCTCCCAGGGAGCTAAGTAGAACCACATGAGATAAAAAGAGCAATTTTGTATGAGGTTTTCTTCACTTTCTTGTATTAATAAGAATTGGGTTTGGCTCCTTCCTGTCTCTCAGAGTGAGCTACAGTTTTGTCTCCAGAGCAAGGACATCCACCAGGAAGTGAGGAGTCTATTGCCCTTAATATTGAGGTCCTATCAGTCTGCACTGGCTTACTGCTTGACAGTGTAGGTCTGCTATAGCAGTCTGCCAGTGCTGTCCTTAGTCTGATCTCAGTGTAGGTTTTGTGGTCTTAGAGCAGTGTTTGTAACGTGCAGGGCCCTTTTGGAAAAATAATCTCTGGGCTATCTCGAACTCTTTGTGCCCTGATACAATTCTTCTCTCACAAGGTTATCCTGATTGGGGGGAAAAAAGGTCGGTGGAGATAAATCTGGTCTTTGCTGTCCTGAACCCTATGCTAAGATGCTCCTGTTCATGCAGAGCACTGATCTTGTGAACGAAAGCTTTTTCAAATTGGTCTTTCCCATTCAGAGAAAATTGAGAAACCACATCATGCTTAAAAGGAATTAGGATGGTAGAGGTTGCTTTTTATTTTGATTATCTGGGAACCATAGGTTTTAAATAATGATTGTTATAGGTAAATTTAACTAAACTCTGGCAAAGTTTGCTTGATCATAAATATTTTGAGGTTAGTGGCATGAAGCAACCAGTGACTGTGTCAAGTGGCCCAATGGAGAGATGTGGCTAGCAACCCTTCTGGCTGCATGTGATTCCTAGCCTGAATGAACAAATACATGGACAGTAGATCAGGTTATCTTTAATGGGCACCTCTCGGTTTTCTTTTGGAAGTTATTCTCAACTCAAGTGCTTCAGCTCTGTTTGCTTTATTTCCACAATACATGAAATGGATGGGAGGGTTGGTTTTCCACTGGCAAAGGAGCAACAAGTTTTGCATCTTAGTTAAGATGCCAGTAAAGGCAGCTGCAGCTAAATATTTACAGTTCTGCTGTCCCCCACACTGAGAGAATTATTTTAAGTCGGCTATCCATTTTACCAATGATACTTCCTTGTTCAATAGGACGAATGGGTTTCTGCTACAGAAGATATCTCCAGCTGTTTACACAAGGATGTTCGTATTTCTTTTAATCATAATCAGACATGTGTGTTTTACAACAATCATCCTCGCCTAACTTATGGATTCCTTTCTCCTCCAAGTATGTACATTGCCTTCATTGTACAGCACATCTGATTTAAATAATTTGTAATGTCATAGGTGTAGTCTTTTAGAGATGTTCCTGACAGTTAATCAGAGTATGAAGCAGTAATTGCTGAATTGTTGCAGTTCACTTCAGTGTATGAGAAAGAAAAATATTTTAGGCACTTCAGCAGGTGGTGGGTTGTCCAAGGTCATTTAGTACTTCCTGAAAGCTTTGGAACTTGTCAGGTTTCTAAAGTGGTATTTCATAGAAGAAACTGGAAGGAACATGTAAACCTTGAGTCAAGTCTAACAGGCTAGTAAATTGCAAATTTACTTTGTATGGCGGGTGTTAGTTGGAACTATCCAAAGTAACATTTAAGGATCTATCACTAAGTAAAAACCTGCCTTGATAAGTTTATTTTCTATTTGAAATATACTGTTGTGTGCCATATGTGGTCTTTAGTAAAGCAATTCAGCATTGGTCTGAAGAATGTAGCTCTGATTCTCAAACATATTACAAAATACTTAGCTGATTACAAGTGGTTAAATTGCTTGTGAACTATTGCTGACTGGATTTGGAAGCATTTTACATCGACTTTACTGCATAAAGTAGTGAGTAGTAGGTGATGTAAACATCCACATCAAGTGTAATTTGCAAAGTTCCAATAGAGCTCCTATTTTTATGCCTAGATTCTGCAGTCAGAACAAGTTGGTCTGGCACTCATGAAGTGAATTTTATTCCTTTCCCCACAATTCAAAAGTCCGTTCTGATATTTTTAAATCTCACAAAAATCTGTCCACTGTATATCTGACAAGTGCAATTGCTGCTAAGATTACTTATTTTGAATGGGATCCAGCATGTACTGAAGTTAAACTTAGACCCACATCAGCTTTGGAAAGAGAATATAGGTCAGCTCCATGTTAACGTTGTTACACTGATCTTTAAAAGCATGAAAACGTAAATTTTAAGTAACAAATCCAAGTAATTAATTGCTTTTGTTTGTTTTTAGATTTTATGACAGGTGCAAAGAAACCTCACTATGATGCCTTGCTTACCAGCAACATTGTGCCAATGTATCCTGCGTTTAAAGGTATTTTATTTGCGTGCACAGTTGAATATAAGATATATTTTGCTTGCTTCCAAACCATGCAAATGATCCCTGGTTCAGCTGCCTCTGTAAAATAAGACCACCCAGACCATGGGCTTCTTACTTCAAAGAAAAGTTTCTTGAAGTAAGATTATCACTCTTATGAAAAAGGCCCACCATTCTGAGCTTATGATTCCTAATCAAATGGCTCATTACATGGGAGCAGGGTATAAATGTCTCCATTTAATGTCTGACATTTGAATGTCTGATGTTTTCGTTGGCATTTTCCTACCTACCTAAACAGTGTTTTTACGGAATATCTTCTAGAGAACCTAGATAACAATATATAATTGTGTGAGTGCAATTGATTTCTGGTTTAGGAATGTCTTCTTGTCGTGGTTTAGGCCCAGCCGGCAGCAGGGCACCATGTGGCCCCTCACTCACCCCTCCCCCAGCGTGATGGGGAGGAGAAGTTAACAAAAGGCTTGGGTCAAGATAAGGCCAGGGAGAGATCACTCACTAATCATCATCACGAGCAAAACAGACTGAACTTAGAGAGGGAATTCATCT